ACTTACTCGCACAATGTAGGCTACAAACAAATCCGAAATTCTCCTTTTACGAGAATAAGTCAGATTATTGGTGGAGGTAATAATACACCAATGATGACATATTTATGAATACAGACATCAATATTTGCCAGTAAACTGAAAATGTTACACAATGTCCCTTAAATGCAGTAGGCCCAACAAATTTCCCCTTCTTAACAGAGCAAATGAAGGCATAAATGTATGAAACCTGGTGTCAACTAAGAGAAATGAAACACATAGACAAATGTCAGCTGCAAATCATAAAACCTTCAGTTATTATAGCTTTTTATCAGATATATTAAATTTGGTCCTTATAAGTGGAACAATTATAAGAAATGTCCTTCTACATGTAGGTAAGCTATGGCTTGTTGCTAATCACTATCTAGCTTTACGGAATGCTACTTACACATTAAAGGGGCAAAAAGTGAAATCGTTTCACTGCTAGGTTTGCTGTTGTGCACTGCCTGTAGACCAAAACAAAGTGTGTCATGAGCCACACCTCCCTCTACCTTTGCTCTCCACCCCCCACCCCACTCGCCTCGTCTGTGCAGCCGAGCACCGCAGCATCTCCACGGACTATTACATCCAGACGGTCCCCGTGTTTGTTCCGCAGGCTTCTTCCCACATTAACCTGAATAACAAACCAGGGCTTGGTGCTCCGGTTGGATCCAAACGGAGAGCTGGGGCTAACGTTAGCTGGGAAGCTAGCGGAGGCTAACTGGCTGTGCTGGCAGCTGAGTGAAGTGGAGCCTGAGGAGGAAGCACCGGTTAGCCCCAGTTTCACTACAGGCAGATTCACTCACCACAGGGGCGAGGAAATAAAACCTAAACAGCCTTAGTTTGGCTTAGTTTAGCAGTTAGCGATGTCTTTCACTCACTCTCGGTCTCTGCTGTGTTTAGCTATTTCCCTGCTTTTCCCTGCTTAGTACTAGTCGGCTGCCACGCTAATGTCCCTACTCTTCTCTGTGAGCCGGAGCCTTGAGCCCGCCAGGCTCACGGGCTCATGGCTCCGGCTCACGGAGAAGAGTAGGGACGTTAGCGTTAGCTCCTGGAGTTAGCACTAGAGCTACTACGGCTACTGGAATAACTTACAGCTATGGAGCACTTCTACCAGCTCTTCTAGTCACTGAGCCTCGCCTCCATCTCAGCAAATATATTACATTTATTACAGGTACCATCATCATTGAAGTAGGCAGGGAAATAGCTAAACACAACCCACCAGGCTGCCCGCCGGGCTACATTTTACAATGCTAATTGTAAAATGTTAGCTGGGCTGCCAGGCTACTCACCTAACACAGCCATAACGCCTGACTCATTGCTGGGACAGAGCCGCTAATAACTCAAGCTCCGGACATTAAGCCATGCTACGATTGTAACATTAAATTTAATTGAATCGACATAGCTACATGTGCCTAACGTTACTGTAACACTAATTAAAACAGACATTTGACTTTATGTTGTACCTGTCCAGGAGGAGAAGAGTTAGCTCCGAGTCAAATTGTAGCCCCTTTAGCTCTCGCAGTGCTCTCCACCTTGGAAATGCAAGGCCAATGTTAATCCGAGTTCTGTCCCTTTCTTTATCCGACAACTTCTTCGCCAACAACAGTTGTTTCTTAAGAGGTAATGTCGGATCCTGGTCGTCTTCAGGTGGACGTTTTGTTCCGCGCTGCCATTGCTCACTGGCTGTAGCCTTTTATAGGGAGGGAGGGCCAAGGGCTCCGAGAGGGAGGGGTTGGGGATTCACATGAACGTACATGAACGCGCAGCCGGACCGGCTTGTAAACAAGGGGCTGGAGATCAACACAGAGAGAAGGTGTGTGAGGTCATGCTATACTCCAGATGAAATTACACCTCTAGTTCTTGACATAGCAATTTTTTAATTCCTTCAATCTAGAAATGATGAATTTCGCTTATTGCTCCTTTAATAGAGTGCTCCAGGAATGAATCCTGCAACCTTGAAATGAGTTAGCATTAAGGGCGTAGGTTTGATTTTCACATTGGTAGGGACATAAAAATGCTTCATGGCGGCGACCTGTACATTGATGATTTTTTAATGCAATTTCACGTCATGTGAAACTGATCACATATCTACACTAAATACAAGCATGTCTTGGTTAATGTATTCTCTAATGTTATCAGTTATATGAATATACACTGATAACCTTACCACATCTGTCCATATGTGCTTCCCAGGGTACACTATAATAATAACAATAAAGTATACTCCGAATGGGCGTAAATTCAGTACCAGCCTGCGGTCTGCAGTTGGGTTGGTAATAGTGATCCAAATTGATATTGATATCGAGTAAAAACATATATTATGCATGAATCAATATTTTTACTTACCCCTAGTCACAATGCTGAATCTCACTATCAACATATATCCTTCACGATTCAGTCTCATCTGTGAGGCTCCTGTCTCTCCTCTATCTCCCCCTGTCTCTTTTCCATTTCCCTCTGTCTCTCTTCCTGCCTCTCCTCCTCCATCTCTTCCATCTCCTCCAGTCTCTCTAATACTTGTCATCTGACAAAAAATATATTGATGCAAGGCGTGAACAGTGGGACAATTTGAGATGCAACAGTCATAGATATTGATTGTTGTAGCCTGAGGAAAACATACTGTATGTTTTACAATTGTGTAATTCATTAAACAACATCTGAATGTATAGGCTAAAGAACAGCCATAATGTCAACACAAGTTAGTCAGCTTCATCATGTTAAACATAAATAAAATAAATCAACAAAAATGTAAATGCTCCAAAATCAGTATAATACAACTGTGTGCAAAATGTTGCACTTACACCCAGTATCTATTACATAAATATGACTCAATGTTGGTGTTTTTACTGGGAGCAGTGGATCTCTATTCTCCTAAGTCTCTCCTTCACACACCATGGATGCTGAAGACTGTCACTGAGGGAGCTATTATTTATAGTGTTTACACTTTATTTATTCAGACTGTTTCTATCATGTCATCTTACTACAAACATTAATTTGAACTACTGTGTCATCACTACATGACATCTATGATTGCTGATGGAGCATGTGAAGTGGAATTTCATGTTCTCTGGCATATAAAAGGCCTATTGATCTAATAGTTGCCAAACTTAGTTCAGCTAGTATTAGCTCGTTAGCATCTCATTATCTAGCAAAGAGTTGCCAAGGAACACCATTCAGTTAGCCTAACATCAACAGGTGTTTGTTTAGCTTATTTACTGAACCAACCGACTCACCGTTCACACTCGGCGCTCCACTGTGGAGCGCTAACGGTGACGTGAGTGTATGTGTCATTCCCTTACGAACTGCCTTGAACTGTACGGTGACGCACACCCACAAAGACAGTGGAGAGAGCGGTGCTGGGGAGGACCAATCACACGTTACCAAAATAACAGTAGAGCCAATTGATGAGCAATACGAGGTTAGAGGCGGGACGTATGGTAGACACCAATGATTGTTAACCCTTTGTGTACCATATTGAGCGGACGCCGACAGCCAGTGTTTATATTGGTAGCATCCAGCATTTAGAAATCTTATCTGACTGAGTAAAATGTTTTTTGTTTGTTTGAGTGGGTTGATATGTGCTCTGGAAGAGTATACTCAGTGGTCGAATTGTTAATTTTTAACAAGGGGGATGCAATGTAGCTTCACAGCACATATGTGCAAAATTAATCAAGATAAAGAAAAATGGCATGATCTATACCTGCTGCCTTTAAAAACACAAATAATGCAGTAGTATAGCTATTGCAATACAGACAAAAACATTTTAGAGTATAAATAAGAGTAGTTTTGAAATAGCTGTGAAAATTAATCTTAGAGTCACTCTTATCCTATAGACATTTTCTTAGCCAGTTATAATNAAAAAAAAAAAAAAAAAAGGCATTATAAAAAGCCGACAAATTGTGTTAATTAATTGACGTGAGACACTGAAGAGGTTGTCTCCTATAGTCTGTAATTTTTAATTTTTTTTATCATAACTTCTCGGAAATTACTCAAAAGCAGAACATGCTAAAAGTAAATACAATAATAGGCTAAATAGTATCTAAGCAATAATAAAGTGTCTAAACAATAATAAATATTATCTAAGTTGTCTATTAGGCTACCATTCTACTCTGTAAATAGATTTTAAAATTTCAATATAATTTAAATATTATTTTTGCTTATTTCATTATTGTTATTATTGGTTTACTTTTTAGTAGTATTGTTTTCTCTGGGGATGACTCATTTTAGTAACTTTTTACAATAAAAAAGAAAAAAAACAAGCAAAGAAACAAACAAAAATCATTTTATACACTGGGCCTTCAAAGTGCTCTCTGAAACTAGACCTGGCATGGCTTGTGTCCAAAAAATGAAAAAGGTCTCAACCTGGAGAGTAACATATGTCAGTATGAAGATTCTACATGGCTGCTGCTTTGAGCCATTCACCTTTGAACCTTTGGACCTCAGTGCATGTTTTGATGCTTATAACTAGGGATGGGTATCGTTAAGATTTTAACGGTACTACTACTCTTATCGATACTGCTAATCGATCCGGTATTTTAACGGTACTCTTATCGATACTTTTTGAGGAAGAAAAAAAACAAATTAAGAACATAAACTGCTTTAATACTACTGTTTAAATTTCTTATATTTTCATGTATCTTTCCTCTCTTGCAAGGAGCACCTGTAACATAAATAATTTCCCCTCGGGGATCAATAAAGTATTTCTGATTCTGATTCTGATTATTTTTTCAGTTCTCATATGCAACAAAATAGGTTTTTTTTAACAAAACATTTTACTTTTTACAACTTGTAAAATACATAAAATAAGCAGTTATTAAAAAGAAAGAGAAACAGTAGTTTTTTTTAACAAATCACTATGTTGTGAATGATGTAAATGTAAAACAAATGAAATAAACAATTCACTCCAAAATAAAATACAGTGGCGTAGTGCAACATGGTGGAGTATGCAGGTAGGTTGCAAAAGGCCAACAATTTTCCATTCTTCAGCAGTTCTTCTGGAGGAAGATCAACATATCAACCTTCTCTGGCAGGAGTCGGGACCTCTCCTGGCTTATGGTGTTCCCTGCAGTTGAGAACACCCTCTCAGAAGGGGTGGAGGAAGCTTGGGTACAGAGGTAGCCTGTTGCAATGATAAAGAGGAGAGGCAGAATATCTTTCTTTTCCCACCACCACATTACCGGATCTTCAGCCATAGAGATGGCAGGCAGGCCTTTGTAAAGCTCAACCTCTTGGTCCACACGCTCCGGGAGGGACATGGTGCTCTGCTGGATTGTCGACCTGAGCTCCCTTTCCTCCTCCGCGAACAGCTCCTCCAAGGCACTTTTTGCTTTGAACACTGATTGCGGTGGGTCTGTCTCCAAATGCTCTGTTTCCTCTCCTTCAGACTCCTCTTCATGTTGCTGCCGTGCTGCCGCTGTGCTTGCCTGCTCTGGCTCCTCTGACAACCCTGGACCTGGCGTTGCTGCTCCTGTTGCATGATCAATAACTGCCTTTCTCAGTCTGTCCCAGGTGTCTTCACTCACCGGTCTCCCTTTAAACCTGGGGTCCATAGCTGTGGCCTCATGCAAGAAATCTTGGATGGCGTTGTCCTGGTAGCGCTCACTGAGGTTCCCCCAAACCTTCTCTTTGATGGCTGTCACAAATGATGTGTCTTCATGCTTTACAGTGAAGTGCTCCTCCAGTTTTTGGAGGATGGGTATAATCTGTCCACACGTAGAATTCTTTTCCCCTGACACACACAGTGTGGATGTGTATAGGATCTTCATGAGCTGGACAAACTCCTCAGCCTTGTGGAAATCGTCATCCCTCAGCCGGTCCAGGTTATCCTTAGTCATCGCCCTTCGCAGTTGTGGGTCCAAGGCTGCTGCCTGTATTGCTGGATATTGCTCCATGAATCTCTTTATCATTAAATAGAGAGAATTCCATCTTGTCTTGACGTCCAGGATGAGTGAGTGTTGTTTAAGTCCTGAAACAACAAAAACAGCATAAATTAACCACACAATTCAATATTGAATTAAACAGATTGTAAGATTTGTGAATTTCAAAATAATAATTTAATGGTTTAAAATGGCTTCTCTTACCAAGGATCTGCTGCTTGTCCTTCAATACTGTGTTGGCCACCGAGGACCTCTTAAACCACACGACCACTGATCGGATTTGGGCGGCCCATTTATCAATGGAAGCTACTGTGTAGATTTTCTGCGCTGCCACATTCAGTGTGTGTGCAAAGCATCCTATTTTTAAGATGCCAAGCTTCCTGATGGCAACGTCCAGATTGCCAGCATTGTCAACCGTCACAGCACAAACCTTGCTCAGCTCTATCTTAAACTCCTCCAGAATGTCAGAGATCTCCTCTGCCACTACTTCACCAGTTTGAGATTGGTAGACTGCCCTGGTGTGGAGGACCCTCTGCTTGAGCTTGCCCTGGCTTGTATAGTGCACTGTCACAGTGATATAGTGGTCCTGGCTGAGGCTGGTCCACCCATCTGATGATATGGCCAGCTTTGGTACATCCTTGAGCTCAGAGATCAAATTGGCCTTTTCTACATCATACCAGGACGGAATTAGTGTGTCACTTAAGTAACTCCTGGAGGGAGGGTTGTATTTAGGGTTGAGTGCCTTGCACATGTCCCTACATTAAAAAAACAACAACAACAACAAATGTATTGTTGAGTTATTATTTAGTATTGTGTTTGTGGAGTGATGTGTCTAACTTACAATATATTATTATTGTGAAATAATAAATAAAGCTTTATTTTGAAATAAAAAAAAAATAATAATATAACTCAATATACTGACTAATATTTTACCTAAAGCCATTTGACTCCACTGTTGCAAAGGGATGTAGACCTTTCACAATGAACTTGGTCACAGCTTGGTGGCACTCCTTCACCCTCTCCTCGTTCATTCTGCCACTAGCTGCCAGCATGAAGGGGTTTATTTGTGCTTGCTTTGGAGCAGCACCAGTGGCAGTAGAAGTAGAATGGAGGACTGGGTTGGATCACTGTACCTTAAACAGTAAAAGTGGGTGGTTTTTTTTATAAATTTAATCAACTGATAGATCTCACAGTCACAGAGCATGCTGGATTGTGGAGTCTAGACAAAGCAATCCAGATTTCGCTCACAAAATATTACAAATAAAGTGTGATGCTTTAGCCCATTATTTTTTTATTAATTTAACTAAGCAGCATTATAGCCTACCAATTGTAAAAGATCCTAGATAATGGGTGAACATATAAAAGAATGATGGACTTTGCTGGCTGCCCCCAAATTGCTACGTGTTGGCCGCTAGCATATTGTTACAAACCTGGAACGGACGTAGATGAACTAGCTGAGCCTATGCTAGGGCAGTCAAACACTGTACATCTTTCCACCTGAATATGATGCACTTTTGCAAGGTGTTTTGCCAAATTACTCGTGTTGCCGCCCTTACACGCAAAACATTTGTCAAACTTGTGACAACGTGCTGTGTCCGCATCAACTCTGGTATAGTAAAGCCACACTTTCGACCATTTAGCTCTCTCCGCCATTATTATTTATCTGAAGGTAGGCCACAAGCTTGAGTTGGTGTGTGCACTGTCTAGTGCGCTGTGTGTGTGTGTGTCACTGGAACAACAGCCCCGCCCCCCTGCTCTCCTCTCACAGACACATGGCAGGCAGCCAGGGTGAGCGAGACAGACCTCTCGTCTTCAGGGAGAATAGCAAAAATTATGATACAATGACGTTGACGGAGTTCGTGAGATAAATGTGCAAGATAATGTTTATCTTGTAAAAAAAAAAAAAAAAAACTCGATTGCTCCAGTACCGATAGCTGTTAAGGTCAGAGCTTATCAATACTGCGGTCTTGAAGAATGTAGCCCCGGGGCTCGTTCAGTACCGGGGCTCGGTACCCATCCCTACTTATAACTCAGCAACAAAAGGGGGTACAGACACGGGACCAGCTGTCATAGAGAGCTCTTGACCTCAACTACCATGTGAGTGTAGTCAACAACTGGGGGTGCTGTCAGATATGGGTAAAATATGGATAAAATTAATTTTCACCCATTTAGAAATTAGATATTTAAAATCTGATTACACAAATGTGTTTACCATCCCCTTAAAGTCCACAGTGTACTCTCAGTTCAGTATTTACAACTACCAATATTTGTAAGCTACTTTTCAAAAAAACAATTTAGTATTTACAACTTCCAAATCTAGAAAAAACACTTATATTTTTTAAAAACTACAATTCCCTAGGACCGCGCCATGCAGCATGATACATATCAGCAACATAGTTGTAGTTCTTCTGATTTGCACAGTAGGGTTCTAAATAGGGTTGAAACAAGATATATCCACTGAATATATCTAATATCTAGTAAAGCTGAACTGGTTATTACACTGCACCTAGATGAACTATGTTAAGAAAAAGTAAAGATGTCAGCTAATTTTCAATATTTTAGCTAATACGCTAGAAACTGCATTTTTGGGATGGTAGGTTTTTGCGGCTTGTAAAATAGAGTTGTATAATAGGGTCGTAAAAAGATAGATCTACTGAATAAATCTAATATCTAGTAAAGCCGAACTAGTAATGACACTGCACCTAGATGAACTATGTTAAGAAAAAGTAAGGATGTTGGCTAATTTCAGATATTTTAGATAGTACTGTAGAAACTGCGTTTCTGAGACGGTAGTTTTTTGCAGCTTGTTGTAAAATAGAGTCTGAAAGATACATCTACCGAATGTATCTAATATCTAGTAAAGCCGAACTAGTAATGACACTGCACCTAGATGAACTATGTTAAGAAAAAGTAAGGATGTTGGCTAATTTCAGATATTTTAGATAGTACTGTAGAAACTGCGTTTCTGAGACGGTAGTTTTTTGCAGCTTGTTGTAAAATAGAGTCTGAAAGATACATCTACCGAATGTATCAAATGTCTAGTAAAGCCGAACTAGTAATGACACTGCACCTAGATGAAATATGTTAAGAAAAAGTAAGGATGATGGTTAATTTCAGATATTTTAGCAAGGTCTCTAGAAATGGCGTTTTTGGGACTGTGATTGTTCCGGTTGTAGAGTTGTCAAATAGTGTTGTAAATCTACTGAATATATCAAATATCTAGTACAGCCGAACTATCATGTCATTATTATTATTATTTATTATTATTGATGGGAAATTATAACAGAGGAATATATTTGCGGTTTTAATATCAAAAACACTTTAGTGTTTTTGTGTGTATACAGGATGTTGTTGAATCAGGGAATCCGTGTGTCCACCATGACAAAGGATCCTAATTGACTTTACATTGGCATTGTTTCCGTGGTACCGGCATGTAATTTCAACCCATTACGTGCTGCCACCACGGAATGCGGTGTTAAGAGGTCGTGGTCATTTCACGTATTTCTGTGAGATCAGGTTGCACTGCCAGTTACTAGCCTGGCATGTATACTACAACGTTTTTGGTCATCTTTGCAGATCAGTGTTCGTGGCAATTGTTATCATAACGTTGTCATCTGAATGCGGAACATTTTTCAAAACACAAATGAGAAACGAAGAATCACAGCTGAGAATTTATATCGATCATAGATTGATTATTGACTGTAGAGGTAGTTAGTGATCTACCCAGGTTTAAAGAGAGCCACTTTTGTAGAACGGATAACGCTGGCTTTATTCTGAACATACCTTGCTTACCCACTGATCTTGCTTCGTGTACAGCCCTCTCATTTGTTCCACCTATGTCTAATCACCCTGCTCTCGTAGTGTATTTAGGTTGTGTGTTTCCCTTGTGTCATTATCATTTCATCATCTCTTTCAGTAAGTATTGTTCCAGCTAGGAATGCACCGAAATGAAAATTTGTGGCCGAAGCCGAATAAAATTAAACGCTTGGCCGAATACCGAGTACCGAATACTGAATGCCGTTGTTTAGTTTTTCATTAGTTCTTGGAGATGAACACCCTCCAGATTGTTGTCATGGTACCAAAATTGGGACCCACGGTACGATACTAGTGAAAGTATGATGGTTCTGAGTAGTATCACGATACCACTGCAAAAATGAGGCAAATGTGCCTTTTGTCATTTATAAAAAAATGAATCACTTTTCTATAATACATCAATGATATTTCAATGTAATATATTACTTATTGACTTATTCATACTTCAAAAATGGCATCAATAAGTGATTAACATAGTGGGGATCGAAATAAAATAAATAAATAAAATAAAAATCAACCAAAAATCAACCAGCCACCCTCCTCCTTTGTGGACCGTTACCTGCCACAAAGAGAGAAATGTGAACGGCTCGTTTCTCCTCTGGCATGTCACATACCTGTTTGCCGCCACGGCTCGGCTGTCCAGGTACTTTTTTTTCTCCGTCGCCTGTAAGCCGTTATCTTGTGCCGCGGAGCACATGGCTGCCGTATTTGACAGGAATACATTCCTGCCTGTGTCTGTGACCCCCGTTCAACCCACAACCGGCAGGATTCACCTTTCGTGGGGGCGTCAGTGGCTTAGTGGTAGAGCAGGCGCCCCATGTACAGGGCTGTTGCCGCAGCGGCCCGGGTTCGACTCCAGCCTGTGGCCCTTTGCTGC